GCTGGGTTCGATGGAACCTATTTGCTGGATTACATTGAACCCAGATCTGCTGGATTCCGTCGAACTTCATAAGGGATGGGCAAAGAAGCAATTGTTAGTAGTGATGTGGGACCCATTTAGATGAATTTGGTGTATTTTCGCCAAGTAGCATGTGAAATGGCAAAAGTTGCATGTGTGTCATCACTTTTTTAAGTTTTGCCTTCCACATCATCAAAAAAAATATAAAAAATGCCACCTAAGTAGGGTTAACGGCCCAAATTAACCGAAGGACTAACGGAATGTATTTCGTATAGTTGAGGGATCAAAAAATTCAAAAAATTGTTGAGGGACCAAAAATGTTCATTTCTTAAAGTTAAGGGACCAAATTAAGCATTTAACCTATATTAAAATGAGACAATTCCAAATAGGGGTGGGCAAAAACCGGTTTTGGTTAAAACCGAAACCGGTTTTGAAATAACCGAATTTTTTTTTAATTTTAAGAACCAAAACCGAATCAAAATTATCAAAAAACCAATCGGTTCAGTTATCAATAAATCGGTTTTAAATCGGTTCCATTTTGGTTTTTGATAATAAATAATAATCAATTATTTTGTCAATAATATATTATATTTTATCACATATTTTATTATAGTTTATTATATTTTATCATATTTATCTTAATTTTAGTTTTTAAATGACTTATTTTCGATTTATTTTTTGTTTTTAGTTTTTGAAAAATTCAACCGAAACCGAATCAAAATATATTTGGTTAACACTAAAATCAAAAAAATAAAACCAAAAACCGTTGAAACCAAACCAAATTCATTTTTTTGGTTCGGTTTTCAGGTAAACAATCGCTTCGGTTAAAAAATGCCCAGCCCTAATTCCAAACGACCCGGGGGTGTTTTTTTTTAGCGCACTTTCAAAACGCATCAGATTAGATATTAGATCTGAGGCCATAGTTGGAAAAAAAATAAAACATATTTGTCAATTAAGAAAAAAAAATATTGGTGAGTATCCATGCATTCAGTTATCCAAACAAAAAGAAATTTAATAAAAATGTATTATATAGTAATTGTGGAAATAATTTCATGTTTATTAATTTCTTCCTAGTTCAAAACAACCCCAAGTATATTTTCACTGAGCTTAAATAGTCATGCAAACTTTAAATAGTATATAAACCTGGTAAAAAGAATGAGGGAAAAAGATAAAACGTTCAATTTACAGATCAATGAGGTTATGGAAAAATTTTAGGATTGAAGCAATTTGTTCTAATAATAACACACTGAGCTCCTAAATGGGGATTCATTCATGAGGGGAAGGGACACGTATAATTGGGAGTGGAGGTGCATGCAAACCCAACTATTCAAGGTGGTTTTCCTACATGCATAGAGGCTGGCACTGACATTCTTCCAAAATCCAGTGCATGCATACAATTGATGTTAAGCAGGGTATCAGTCATACCTAAATTTTCAGATTTGCTTTTGTATGACTCATGCAACTCCCTCCTTTAAGGTAGCATCAACTGCCAGTCTACCAATACTAGTTCCAGCAATGAATCCACCAGACCAAGCATTCTAAAAGGTAAACAAGTGAAGAGATAGATTAATAACATCATAAAATGGAGAGAAGTAAAGATTTGTTGAAAAGGTTCCGGATAATTGAAGTCTGAGGTTAGTGCTGTAGGGGATCCAAATTTTTGTGGAGAAAGATATCTCTTAAGGTCAACTGTTACTGTTATAGTAAACATTAAGATGGCATACATTTATATCTGAAGGAGTTTATTCCTTACCTGGAAATTGAAACCACCAGTCACCCCATCAACGTTCAATACCTGCAGTTTTCAACTTTTAAGCAGCAGTACAGTGCCCCGAAAACATGCATATATACACTCAATTACTTATACAACACGTATACTTGAGAACTTAAGCATGAAAACTGGAATTATTTTAACCACAATGATGGAAAACTGACAACCGGTAGCTAGCTCATTACAAGAAAATGAAATTTCAAAGAATTTAAGGAAACTACCTCTCCTGCAAAGAATAGATGTGGGCATTTTCTGCTTTCCATTGTATTCAGATAAATCTTCATAAAGGCAAAAACAATGGAGTTATTTCCAATCAAGACAAGGTTGGAGAGGGAGAGAGACAGACAGAGAAGAACCTCAGACAGTGGAACCCCCCCAGCAGTGACAAATTCATCCTTAAATTGGCCCTTCATTGAAAGCAAGGATATATCATCTCAGAGAAACAAGAAAATAGTTGAGATTAGAAAATTTTTGAAAAACTTTGAGCATGAAATCCTACCTTCCCAGTTACTCCAAATGTACAATGCTTTAAAAGATGAGCTATAGAAAATAAGGAATTATTTGAAACAGAAGCCCATAAGGTGTTTCCAAGTAAACCCTACAAGAGAACAATAAAAAATCAATATGCTCAGACATTGAACACATATAGAGAAAAATACATACAGCTTTGAAGTATCCACAAAACCTCACGATCCAATATATATTTCCAAAATCTTTTCACAAGCCCGAACTCTGTAGGACATGAATTGAGCACTTTTTGCTTCTGCAAAGAGATGGATAAGCAAACAGGCAGTTATAAATCAGAAATGAGTATCTGGTTATTATAGACCATCAAACCCCAATAACAGAGGGCGAGTAACTAAATGAAAAGGATGGGTCATATATGAAGAGTAATGTCTTAACACATGATCTTACTCTTCTACTAACCACCACACACAAGCTTTTGTGACAAAGCAATGGTACAGTCTGCTGCTATCCTAATTAAATTTGTAGTCTAAAAAGCTGATCTCAACAAAACTCTGTTGCAAGCTGGGTGGAAAATTTTTTCTTTTAATGTTTAATCTGACCTCAGAACCAATTGCCAACATCAGAGGAACCATTTCCCACTTCTAATAATATAAAAAAAGAAGGTGATCTAAATTTACCACAAATCTTTCTTTATGTCTACTCAGGATCAACTTCATGTCCTCTATATGCAAATCAGGCACAAAATCCACAACCAGTTTTCCTACATCCAAATGCTATGACTTAGCAAAGGAGAATCACAAATTTTGTATCAAAACTTTAAAAGCATAAAGGGATCTACCTACCTTTATAACCAGAACTAAACAATTCACGAGCCCCCCAAGCAGATAGCCGAAGAATTACTGGTCCACTGAATCCCCAGTGTGTCACTAACATAGGCCCAACCTAAATTGCCAAAAATATTGATTACGAAATGCATCTTTACAGGACATTGAATCATATAGTCCGAAAAAAGCATGCCTGTGTTAGGTGCAACCTATTCCTTTCCACATGCTCTAGTTTCAACTTTGTAATAACTTTGGGAAATGTAACCTGAGACCATAAGAAAGAAAAGGGAATAACTTACCCAATATTGGAGAAACAAAATAAAAGTGGACAAGATAAATAGTATCTTTTGCTTTTGATTTGCAACGTAAAGCAAGATATTTATAGAACAATTGCAGACGTGCAGTCATTCAACCAAATATATTTATTATATTGAACACATAGTATTATTCTTTGAAATAAAAGTAAATCCAAATTGTATATCTCTTTATTGTTATTCTACAATTCAGAAAAGGAAAAATATACTAACTATTTGTAGAGTAGAGACAAGTACACTTAATTTCCACTTCAATCTTTTGTGCATAAGAAAATAAAAATATCTATCTAATTACAAAAAAAAAAAAAAAGAGAAATGGATATTAATCAGCTGAGGAACATTACCCCTGCCAACTCAGTTATTTGAGAATCCTCAATCTTTAAGGTGAATAAGCTTGGTACTGGGTCTACAATTGAATGACCAAGCTGAACTGCAAGATTATAACCCTGTAACTTAAAGAAAAATGTATAAGAAATCTGATGCAGTGAGATGACAACATAATATACACCATTTGTCAAACACAACCTGCTTGCTACTCCCACTAGCAATCAACAGATAGTCAGCTTCAACATATTCCACAAAGTTAAGCGTACGCTTCTCAACCTTGAGAATGAATTTTCCAACAGCACTAGCAGATGCACTTGTAACAACTTTTCCAGTCTGCAGAGAAACTGATAACAAAGCTATCATTTAGAATTGACAGCTCATGAGCACACCATTATACTGAGAAGGCCAATATTGAGTTATGAAATGAATTACAGGAGATGGATATAAGACATAGAGGGAGTAAAAAGTACCACTAACTTGTGTGTTTAATTTATTTTAAGCATGTGTTCTATATCCATATCAAGTCCAATACCATAAAACAGAAGGATCATGTCCGCAATAGACACATTACAAAAGTGTCACATGCCTTTCTTTTCTCCTTTTCCCTTTATAAATCAAACAAGCCAAAAGTAACTTCTAAAATTTAGTAGGGTTCCAAAATTTCATAGCCACAAGAAGCAATCTGCATAGAGATGCAATTAAGGTTTCCACCCTTCAGAATCAAAAAAGAAATAGTTCCTCAGGATTCCTTCCAAACCTGCCCCTCTTCAGGCCCTTAACAAAGTAAAAACCAAAACAGCACAATGGCCAGCACCAATATACCTGCCCTGTAACTCGCTTGAGATAAAAGACAATCAACAACTGAGGCAGAACTGTTGCTAACAGGAAATACTCTTCCATCATCCTCGGTCTGCCAGTGGGTGATTCATAAATTACAAAAACGAAATGGAAAAGAAAAGAGAAGACACACAGCTTTGATAACCACCTTCAGCTGCACTCCATGATCAGCAAACCAGGACATTGTATCCACTGGACCATGCATATTAAAGAAAGCTCCTCTCAATTCTTTGTTGCCCCTAGGATAATGTTCTGCCAAAACCTATGAAGGGATCAATCTCATCATCTATCAAAAGATCATACAATTGCAACTTAACCACTCATTTAGAACAACTGACTAAAAGAAGCTACACATATCTACCAAACACAGAAAGTTACTCTCATAAATTTTTTTCAGTTTACCTAATTAACTAGTGGGAAGAAGGTATCATAAACTTACTACCAGAAATAGCAACAACCAACAAGCACAAATCTAGCCTCAATGGTAAGGCTTAAAAAAATTTTGCAAATGACCATGGTTATACTTCTCTATCAACTTGTAAATCTCAACAACCTTTCATATCTTTACATGCAATGAAAACTAGAAATCACACATTTGAATGAAATTAGATTACTGAGTATAACACACGTAGAGACAGAATAAAATTTCAGAAAATATTGCAGTAAAATGCTCCCAAACCTAATACGGTTTCAACCTAACACTCATCCGATCCTAACCAATTCCCCCAGCTTTTGACATAACAGTTCTTACCATATTGTCAGGACAATGCCCATTTGTCACATTGCATCTTCCTCCCCCAGAAATCCTAACCTGCCAACAACAACCATTAAAAGAAATTATGTATCATCCACCAAATGGGGTAGATTATTATCAACACAAACACTGAAAAACAAAACGAAACAAAACCTTTGAAAGAGGCTTTCCTTTCTCAATCACCAGCACATTAAGGTTAGGCGCAACAGTCTTTGCTCTGATTGCTCCATAAACCCCTGCTGCTCCTCCGCCAACTACCACCAACAGCTCCTCATTCGACTACCCATAACAGAAATTCAAACAAAAACATAAAAAACTAACTAAAAAAAAAATCAACAACAATGGAGAACACTCTGTTCTACCTTCCGCTTTTGAGCTACCGGGACCGCATTCGTCGTGAATTTTCTTTCGTTGGGGGTTAACAGAAGAAACCCATTATAGTTCCTTCCTCGGATAGCTGCAGCTTTTAAGGAGTCCCCAAAATGGAGCAAATAACGCGCTAAAGTGAAGCTCATGAATACTGACTTGCTGCAAACATGGGCGTCAGGTTTTGAGGTGGAAAGAAGAAGGGCCGAACGGGATGTCTTTGGAAAATAAATTGCATTACCACATGGTAAACCATGACGTGGCACTCATCTATTTGTCGGTGACTTAACAAAGTTATACGTGGCATTAGATGATTGGCTTTTGCAATTATTTTTTTATAGGGTTTTATTGCGGCTGAAGTCCTGTACTTTTGATAAATGTTCAAATTAACCCTCAATAAACCTACCAATGCTAGCCACATCCCCTTGATTAAAAGAATAAGATGAAATTATATTAGTACTCATTTTTTGTATCGATTTCTTGATTTTCGATTTCTTGATTTTACATGCCTATAAACCAGGAAAAAAAGGTTCAGATTACAGACGATTTTTATGACTGCGCAACAAATATGCATACAAAATCTCATTCCATGTATCAGGGACTCCCGGTAAGCACCAATGGATGCAATCAGCAAAATTGTTGGGGTCAGATCTCTGTTCCTTTGTTAGGAGCTTACCCTTTCGTTCACCATAAACGGATGTATGAGCATCTTTTCGATATTCTGACAATTGTGTAATGTTCAGAACTGTAACATTGATATTTAGTTTTTGTAAGATGTCACGTACAATCTCCATGATTGTTAGACTAGATCCAGTTCCCAGGTACGATGCTTCTTGGATCGGATGTGTCTCGTTGAAGCAGTTCCCATTACTGCCTGGCTTCCATTCCCAGCTCCTGAAAGGTGCAGCTATAATCATCATCATCATCATCATAATTTGAGGATTTTGGGATGTTTCTTAAGAGAAAACAGCGAGTGAAAACATACCACAGATGTGTTGGAGACATAGTCATGAAGAAGACCCTCTGAACTAGAGGATTGATGTTGGATTCTAACCAATTTGCCCAAGTTTCCAATGCCAATCTGTAAGCAGTTGTTACATTATATTCCTGAACAATTCCTGGAGTTCCGGAGCTGAATACATAAAAACCCCAAAACCAGGGAACAAAGTTAAAACTTTGAAGTTAGAATAACCTTTTGGATTCTAGAATGTATGTTCAAATCAAAGACTCGATCTTGCATCACAAAAACCAGAAGAATTTGGTTGGAATGGAAAGCCTTATATCGAAAACTGGAAACTTACGTAGCATTGATCTGAGGCTTGAACATCCACCAGACATAGCTCTCAAACACCAAGACATCAACTCCTTCCCAGCTCTTGCCATGTTTGGCTATGGCATCAAGGTTCACCAGCCGCCTCAGGACAGTATGATTTGTTGCATGGTCTGAATTAGACTCCACAATAAAGGGAGCCCAGTAGTACTCAATTGATGCATTGTACTCCTGAAAACACATTTCAAAAGCTCAAAACACTGGGATCGACTGTCTGGCATGAATACTTAAATTTTTTTTACTATTTTTTTCCTTAAATTTTAAGGATTCAAATCTCTTGACATACGGATTCAAACCATTTAACACATTAAATTTGGATTTATTAGGATAGAGTCAGGAATTCATGTAACATAATAAAGCAGGATAGGCAGAAAAGTTGTGTTACCTCAGCTTTAAAGATCTTCGTGGGAGGAATTCTATGGAATGATTTCTCCCCCTCAGGAATCGCAGATTGTACCAAACAAACCATTGACTCAAACTGGGCTCTTTGCACTGAATCTCCTATGAACATCAGTCTTTTGTTCCTTAAGATGTCCAACAGCTTTAGTGGATCAAAACTAAGACACAGAAAAAACATTTCAGACACCTTGAAATCATATGAAACCAAATGGCTTGGGATTATGTCCTGTGTATCACAAAATAAAAAATAACTTACTGTGGCAGTTGGCAGGAATTAGGCTGCCACCTCCAGTTTTGATATAAAGAATCAGGCCTCCCATTCCTGAGGCAAGTGGTTTGTTTAACCAAGTAAGGGCAGCTATCTTCAGTATAAAGAGGGTATGATACATTGTCCCACTTCCATTCCCCCTCAAACAGATTGCAACCTTCTTCAATCCGATCTTCCGGTAAAACAAAGAATGCATTCCTATTACCTTTTGGCTCGCTGTAGATCTGGAAAACATAGCTCCCATTGCTCTTCAGGTTATCAAGAATTAGTTGCATGGTTCCCAAGACCAAAATGGAAGCCAATGCCAAAGGGAACAGTGATTGAATTCGCCGGTCCAGTGAGGATTGCATTACCATTTTGAAGAAGGGTCTATGAAGAAATGATCAATTTTGCATGTTGTTCATTGATGAAGGACATTCTTTCGGGTATTTTGAAGGCTATACTTGAGATTTAAGCATCTGAAAAGAACACAAAGTACAACAACCAGTTGTTGGAGTCTAGTTTAGGTAGAATGGTAAATTTAGAAATCTAGTATATGGTAATGGAAGTGATATATCAACAAAGGTAGCACATCAATATCATTTAATTGGAGATTGGTGGTTGGCGGGGCTCATGTTTCACAAGTTTGGTCCTCAGATGAAGCCAAGAAAACTCAAAACCTAACCAAGCGCATTGTCAATTTGTCACAGCAATAATTCTCAGAAAGTTATAATAGTTACCCTGAAAAATGTGAGCATTTGCTAAGTAAAAGCTACACAGATTGCGGAGTACCGGATCCCACATGGTCTAGCCTCCACAGGAGGTCAAGGGACAGCAACTCCAGCATTGCATGTATTTGAGCACAAGATGGATGTGATACATCACCAGAAACAAATTCATTCACCCTTCTATCCACCTCTATCATGCTGCATCCCGGTGTTTTCTTCAGCCCTCTCTCGCCAATCATCCTTCGTATCCTCCGTGCAGCATCACTTTTCCCAGAAATCAAGTACATGTTAGATAACTGAACAAGAGCTGCTTCTTCTTCTGCTGCATCAACATCCTCCAGTTGCAGCAGCTCCCTTACAGCAACCTCAGCAAGCTCAATATTGTTATGGGTCCTACAACTGTTGAGCAAGGCACCCCAGACTGAGGCAAGCGGTTTCATGGGCATTCTTCTGATGAGCTGAAGAGCTTCTTCAAATCGACCTGCCCTGCAAAGCAAGTCCACCACACAACTGTAATGCTCATGCTTGGGCATGATGCCATATCGAGCTTCCATATTATCCAGCAACGATTGACCCTTCTCCACCAGCCCTGCATGTGTGCAAGCTGTTAAAACCCCAAGAAGGACGACTCCATCAGGCCTAATCCTATCAACCTGTTGCATCCTCTCCAGGCAATGAATTGCTTTCCTCGCACTACCATGAACTGCAAGGCCTCCAATCATGGCTGCCCATGAGAACACATTTCTTTTAGGCATTTCCTCAAACACTTCCACAGCCATATCTATGCATCCACATTTTGCATACATATCAACAAGAGCGGTACCAATAAACACATCAAATTCCAAAATTTTCCTCTTCTTCACGTACTCGTGAATCCATTTCCCCTGCCATAGGGCCCCTGATTGTGCACAAGCCGTCAACACAGTAGGCAAACAGAATGCATCAGGCTCAAACCCAAGCATCAACATCTCTCTAAAAGCACTCAAAGCTTGAAACCCCAACCCACTTCGAATGTACCCATTCATAAGCACATTCCACTTAACAACATCGACACAAGGAATTTCATCGAACACTTTCCTGGCATCCCCAAAAATCCTGCACTCCACATATAATCTTATTATCGCTGTCTGCACATAAGTATCAGACCAAGCGACACCATTTTTAAGCACCCAATTATGAATTTGCCTGCCGGAACGCAATGAACACGAATTCGCACACGCTATTAGAACGAAATTAAAAGAGAGGCAATCGGGTTTGACGCTGCCATTTGTTACCATGAGATTGAAGTAATGAAACCCATTTTGAGGGTGAGCGCTACCGGAGTAGGCTCTCATGAGAGTGTTATAGATAAATGAATTGGGGTTCTCGACTTGGTTAAACAACAGGGACGCGTAATGGAGGTCACCAGTGCTGGAGAGAGCACAGAAGGCGATGAGTTTGCTGACGGCGTAGTGGTTTCTGTGGAGACCGTGGGTGATGAAGAGGGCGTGGATGGGCTTGAGTTGGTGCATACCGGTGCAGCGTTGCGCGAGGGTGATGCACCGGTTCCACACTCGGGTGCTGTTGCGGCTCATGCGTAATTAGGGGCATAGTTGAAATGCGAAGCAAAATGGCGACGGCTTGGGCTGCCTCTTTATTCATAAAAAATTATAGTACTGAAGTTCCTAATGGTTTCCCATTGGTTCAATTAGATCCCCAACCTCTTACTTGTTAAATTTGAAGTTTTAAACCATTTCACTTATGGTATGTTCGGTTTTTAAAAAAAATAGTGGAAATGGAAATGACATCCTTCCAATCTTCTTCTTTTTTTT